ATTTTTGTAATAGTGTGTATGTATGTATGTATTTATGTATGTATTTATGCATGTATGTATTTATGTATGTACATATTTATAATTATGTATTTATGTATGTATGTTTGCCATTGTAAAACAAAGTGCACTTCTGGGACAAATAAAAGTGTAGTTTATTTTATTTATTTTAATTTATTTTTATTGTGTTGATAGTGCCGTTTTGGCCCAGAAAGTTGTTTTATGATAGTGAAGATAATATTGTGTCGATACTAATCCATTTCCTGTGTCCACTCTCCAGGGATGACCGCGAGCTGGTGGCCACGCCCAACACTGTGGTCAAACACGAGGAGGACACGGTCAAGCTGAGGATCTCTCCCACCAGGCTTGACCAGGAGGGCGTGTACAAGTGTGTGGCCTCAAACCCCGCCGGGTCAGCCGAGTGTGTGGCCAAGGTCGTCGTGGAAGGTCAGTGCTGACTGGGGGACACTCGTCCTATTTCGTTTTTGTGAGAGATTTATAATTCATATAAGTGCTGAAGATTAGACGTGTTACAAGAGAGTAACAAGCACTAAAGAGAAGGAGGAGAGATGAGGGCGATAGATTGTTGTCTCTCTAGCTCTTGGAATGCGGACGCAAACAATTTTATCATGCAATGTGTCAGCACCACAAACTCCCCGATAAGTCTTCTCCCATTTAACCTATATTTGAGGCAGCGTGGTGGAATCAGGCGCTCGTCAAAATAATGAAATTGAAGAAAACAGCAGTTTTCTTCCTGCTTAGCAATTTTTATCAAATTTTTGTTTTTTGGCTCAACACCTTTTATGTCAATTTACAAGCACATTCCTTTGAGGATTTCACCGAAAACGTTGATAAAAGGCACAACAATAAAAATTTACAGTTTCCATGGACTCTCCAGCTTTGGAATTTACCAAGCTTTGGCGGCCATTTTCTTGCTAATTTTACCTCTTAAACCAGGTGACCCCCACCTCCTCCAATCTAAAACATCTCTACTTCTATGGAAGATGGAATCGTAATTTTTTTCATTAAAAGCAAGACAAATGAACAAGCTTTAAGATGATACCAATAACTCAATATGCCCAAAAATTGACGAGAGCCTGATTCCACCACTCTGCCTCACATATGTAGAAAATAAACGCCAGACTGGTTAGAAAAGAAAAACCCATGCAATAAATATACAGTTTGATTATAGATATAATGATAACATCATAATGATAATATACATATTATGTATTTACTGTGGTTTATGATTGTTGTTACTACTGTAAACCACGGAGCGACGTCGTGGGTCAAGGAAACAGGCGCAATGTAGACTAGGATTCAGGGACGTAGAGGACACATTTGATCGCTTGTAAGGACAAGCCGGCTAACCTAGATGTCGGGGGTTTCAAGAAATCTTGACCTACACCAAAAGTGGGCATTGCCAAACCTATAGGAGAAGTTTGGTTTCTTTGGTGTGTACATTTGTTTGGGTATAGAGAAAACTCTCCTTGTTTTTAATGAAACTGAACAAGGGGCAAAGACTTTTCCTTCGATTTTCTCAAACGACATTTTTCAGGATAGCCCCTTTGTGCTTAAATGCGACCATTTGATCAGCAGCAGACCACAGGCCGTACTGTGGTACTTTTACGACTCTCACACACACACGTCAGAAACACAAGTTTGCATGATTCCTAGTATGCGTATTGTTAACTGACTTTTAAAGTTTGAGGCAATGAAAACAGGATTGTAAAATCTGTTGTGTGAATAATATGTTCCTTTTTGCAAAGTTCCCCCAAAACAGCGCGTCTTCCACACGGGACCACTCATTGGCCACTTTCTTTTCACGTCCCAGGCAAGACAGAACCTCCCAAGTTCACCCGCCCTCTGTCCAACAGAGAGTGCAAGGAGGGACGGCCGGTCAAATTTGAGTGTGCTGTTACTGGCTTACCTCAGCCGGACATCTCATGGTCAGTCAACTAACTACTTCTTGTGTGGTTGTCATGTTGTTAAACTCAAAGAACATGGTTTTATCTGATTCTCATACTTTAAAAAACAACAATCTTCTATGCTGGAAAAACAACACCGTACATTTATGTTGTAAACAATTATGATTGCTAATAAAGAATAAATAATTAATTTTAAGGAGAAGATGAAGAAGAAGAAGAAGAAGAAGAAGAAGAAGAAGAAGAAGAAGAAGAAGAAGAAGAAGAAGAAGAAGAAGAAGAAGAAAGCAGAAAGAAAAAGAAGAAGAATTGTACAACGAAACATCTTCACTAACTTCATCCTGTATGTCTGACAATCTGTATGTCTGACAATCTGTCTGTCTGTGTGTCCGGCCAGGTTCCTGAACGAGCAGCCTGTAGAGGCCGGTGTCCGGTTCCATGTTGACCAGAGGAAGGGTTTCTCTGACGTCACACACAGCCTGAGTCTGGACTCCACTGACGTGGCAGACTCGGGGACGGTCAAGGCCGTGGCAGTCAATCGTGCTGGGGAGGCCAGTACTGACGCCACGCTTACTGTGGATGGTGAGTGGTTGGTGTACTCACACAGACATAGACAGACACTCACACACATACACACACACACATACACAC